AATAAATTATAAATCTATAGCCCATTTTTAAATTTTATTTATTATACAATAATTATTATTCTTTGGCATATATTTATTTTATTAATAAAGTTCCTGATAATTTTAAGTATTACTCTTCTCATTAAAATACATACTTCTATAACAAAAATCTGTTTTGATGGAGCTTCCTCTAAATATCAGTTTTCCCAGGTACTTTCAATGAAACCCATTGTCAGGACACACAACTATGTCTTTTTATGGTGGCTTGGTTGTCTGAAAGTGCTGGAAAAATTTATATTTACATTGAACTACAACAAAGCAAATTTTAGTTGAATTTGGAATTATTTTCATTATATATATATTTCTTACTTTTAAAAATAAAAAAAAACACTTTATATAAATCTAAATTTAATCTGTATTAAAAGATATATGAAACTTCATTAATTCATTCCAATATAAAAATCACATAGTAAATGTAGCCAAATTACATATATTCCATACTGGGGTAGAAGCTTAAAGTTAGCTGGGTGNAAAGGTCACTTATATTTATACTTTAAAAAGGTATTTGTATTTGTTTGTTTTATTATTTGTTAATTAGATTCACATGCAATGCAACACTAGTGACTTTGATATAATCCTCCAAACAACAACAATCTCCATTAAAATCTGACAGTCACAAACATTTCTACCTGAAGCGGAATTTGAACCCACAATCTGGCAAACTAGAAACAATATCTTAACAGATTTGGATATTTATTGTTTCTGTTATGACAGAACAAGACTCATTTCAAAGTTGATGTTTTAAAATAAAGGAAATAATTTCAAATTTTATAAGAAAATGAAGAAGTGTCAGTTAAATTCCAAATTTAAAGCTATATAGTAATCTTATACAGTCAAAGTTTTATACAGCTTCTTCCTAAATAGTATCATCATCATAAAGATCATATGAATACTTGTAAATGGATCTTTCCCATAAATTTATTAAGAATTTACTATCATCAAATCAAGTGACTTTCAAATGGTCAAACTCAAACTTCTATGTGGAGTTCATTATTAAACATAATTCTTATTGTTTAAAGTACTTGTTTATTGCTCAATTCAAAGCCAAATGAATGGTGCTATTAAAATAAAGTTTGAAAGTTTTAAATATTTTATGATGCTTTATTAAGTCCTTCTAATAAATTACTCAATAGTTTAATTTTTTTGATATTGAAAATTTCATTTACATTGTAACATTTAGCAAATGTTAAGACATTGGTTGAATAGAATAACAATAATTTTTTCAAGTAGTGCAGGCAGAAATATGATATCACGTAGTTATACCAGTATATTTAATTATTAATTATAAGTTGCAATAAGTAATATTGATAATAGACAACCAGTGATGATATTACACTCATTGCCATAAAAATTAGTGCATCAAGAAAGAGTTGTATCATTGCAAAACTTGGAATGCAGATAAGTCTGAAGCAGCTATGGAAATGCTTAGAGTTACAGAATGGTTCATTGTGTAATGATAGCAGAAGGCATTAAAATGCATCCCCCTTGGCCTATAAATAAAGTGTAAAAAAACATCCTGTCTGTAGTTTACCTCTTTACAGAGGTATGCTGTATCACTAGAGATGCCTTTATGTCATAATTGAAGACCATATGGACAACTATCAGAGTTTGAGAGGGAAAGGATCATCAAGTTGACAGAAGTTAGAGATAATCTCGTTGAATAGTCTGGCTTCTATGCTGTTCTAACAATACTGTGAGGGGGTGGATGAGAGAGCTTGCACACATGGCACCCAGGCTCAGGATGCTCTCAGATCACTAGCCTGAGAGGACTGCGGGTCCTCTGACAAGCAGTCCTCTCAGGCTTGCGATCATTGCCTGCCATTCAGACACAGGTGGTGCCATCATTACAGGCCCCCATATCTATCCATACCATTTTGAGGAGCCTGGGTGACAAACATTTGGAATCACAGCAGCCATTGACACTACCCACTGTCTCCTCTGTTTGGAGTGGTGTTAGTTCTGATGGGATTAGACTACAAAGGAATGGAACTGGGTCATCTACAGCAATGAATCCAGATTCAGTTTGACTGCTGACAATAGTTGCATTTGTGTCTGGAGGCTCTATTCATTTCAATCCTGCCTATGCTTTGAGATGGCACACTGCCCCCACAGCTGGAATGATGATCTGGGGTGCCATCACATGCAACAACCAGTCACCTCTAGTAATGATCCAATGGACCATGACAACCCAGTGGTATGTTAGTGACAACCTGCAGCCACATGTGTTGACTCTCATGGCAGGTAATTACTTTCCAATTATTAATAATTTGCTATTTCAAATGATTTTAAGGCTGCATTTTATGGCAAAAGTTGCTATGCTGATACATAATAGATATTATAATCATGTTTAATATATGGTTAGAAAAAACCATTTTCCAGCAAGACAATGCTCAACCACATACAGCAAGGTCATGTGCCTCCACCACATTGCAACACCTCCCTGACCTGCCTGGTTCCAATTTGTCACTGATCAAACATGTCTGGGATCACCTGGCACTAGTGTTTCCACCATGCTGGTTTTTAAATTCATTGTTCAGATTAATTATTAATTTGCCCACTTTTCATAGAAATTGTAAAATTATGATGAAACAAATTAAATTTATAAAAATATTTGCAAGTATTTTATTTTAACTTTAACTTCACACCCAAACATATCTCTAGACTAAGAGCGACAGAAAATGTACTTTTAAAATTCTAACTTGCAAATATCTCTGGCAAATATTAGGTTTGTTCTAATACAAGTCCCTAACTGCTTTAAAACTGCATGTGCATTGTTCAGTTCTTGGCTATAAAATGACATTGTGCATGCCTCATACTTTATATTATATATTGTATCAGATACACTATATCTTTTGTAACTTAATAATATTAATGCTGGTTTTTCTTTTTGCTCTTTCTGCCCTGTGGGCACTAAGAGGGCCTCTTTTTTAGCAAGCTCATTATGGGCACACAATGGGGCAGCCAGGTGGTGAGGGATGGGCTCGACATATCCAGATGGACCACCCCCGAAAATTCCTGGGGATTTCTTGATCCGTCTGAATTTGATCCCAGGTCCCCAGAGCGGTAGGTTGCCACCTTAGCCACTCAGCCATTTAATGTTGGTATGTGTTATTATTTATTATTCTTACTTTTACGTATTATTTTTGCAATTAATATCGACATTGGACTGTTATTAATTATTTTTGGATATGCCACATGTGATTATTGTATTACTTTAATAATATATCATGTACATGTTTACCTTCTAATAAAAAAAATATTTATTTTTTACTCACTGTGAAAAAACCTAATTTTTTTTATTTCTAAGTATAACATCCTAATTTTNTATCGACATCGGACTGTTATTAATTATTTTCGGATATTAATACATGTGATTATTGTATTACTTTAATAATATATCATGTACAGTACTGTACGTGTTTACCTTCTAATAAAAAAAATATTTATTTTTTACTCACTGTGAAAAAACCTAATTTTTTTTATTTCTAAGTATAACATCCTAATTTTAAAATGTCCAGGTCAGCAATTTTGAAAAGTGGCAACACTGCCTGGCAAAACTAGGCTGGCACACCAAAGTTGGCCAGCCTAATTTGGCTAAACTAGACGACTACCTGCAGCAACTGTGGATAGAGATGCCACAGGACATCATACAACATCTGTATGCCTCCATGTCTGCTTGTATGACATCGTGTATTGACACTAGAGGTGGCCCAACAGGGTACTAGAACCTCCTTTCATTTGTAGTTTTTCCTGCAATAAATGATCCTTTTGCTTTCAGTTTGTTACTTATACCACTATTACACTCACACACGTACAATTTTGTTTGATTCTAACAACTCTTTCTTGGTGTGCTAATTTTTATGGCAATGATTGTATTTTCCAACAATTACTTGCAATTACTAGTAGAGAAACATTTTTCATTTTTTTCCAAACTGACTTAAGGTGTTTGAAATATAATTTAGCAATATATAGGTGTTTCATATTTTTCTTAATAGAACTAATCCAGTAACAGGAAAAATTTAACTCAGTTGATAACTTTCTTTTTATATAAAAACACAAAAACTGTCATTAGAGCAAGATGATCTACAATATTATTTTTACTATTTACTTCAAAAAAACTTTGAGAAAATTATTTAAAGACACTTTAAAAAATATAATACTGTAATACAGTATAATAATAAAACAAACATAAAAATTAAAGAAAACAATAAAAGGTTATGAATGTTGTGCATAATTTAGAAATATTTTTTCCTCATTATTTTGTGTACCAAAATAAAACATATAGTTTATATGTTTTCTGACTGTATCTTTTATAATAAATATTCTGTACAATTTTTTCTCACAGAATCATAAAAACTATATATATATAAAATTAGCATAAAAATGAAAAAATATATTTTTATTTCTACAAAACTGTAATAAACATATATTTTCTATTAATTCATTTAAGTTTATTACTACATTCTAAAGTAACAAACATAATAAAAATATTAAATTAATATTATATTTGATATTACTGCTACCAAATATATATATATAAATATACATAAATTTAATTATAGAAATCCTAGTTTCAGAGTAAGCAAATTCCACATAAAATCAGGATAAATCAAACACTAAGAAAAGTATAAGTCAATCTTTTAATTTCATTAAACATTTTTCAGAACTTCTTTGTCCCATCACTCACTAGACAAAAAAATTTCAAATCATAATCCAAATGAAAATATCCCAATATCCTTATATTTCTGTTGAGTGTTCTCAATGCTCAACAGAAATATAAGAATGTTCTCATTTGAACTTCAAATGAGAACATCCTTCAGCCCCACCTCGGCAATATATATGGATGAATAAATATAGAATGTCTTTTTTAATTTTTCTGCTTTTTTCAGAAAAATTTTGCCTTGCTATATAAAATTTGTGTAAAAAATAATTGAACAAAGTCTATACATGCAAATACTTACCAGGACAATAACCTTTCCTATCTGTTCTAGCATATAAAGTAATAGGTCCTGAAGTACAACACCAACAACATAGTGTTTTCTCAACACTATTCTCTACTGGCATCTAATAAAATATATCATAACTTTTCAGTATTTAATTTGTTTAATTAATATTAAATTATGATAAGTTAAAGTTTTATAACTGTTTAATTTAATAAAACTTATATTTTCATAGATAAATATCCATCTTATAAGAATACTATAGAAATTACACATTCAAAATATAATAAAAACATTTAATTTAATATTAAAGAATAACTAATCTACTTTTTAGAAATGATATTAATATTAATAACTTGATTCTTAAATAAATTGTAAGATTTATTAAATTATAAAAGAATTCATATAAAGAATTTTTTTGATAAGTGATACTTGATTGCAATAACTTTATACATAATTCAAATATGTTAATCACAATACGTATTAATGTATATATAGTAACTAAAGTATACAAAATATTTTGCTCACATAATTATATAACTTTTCAAGAAAATATTGTTTAAGGAGAAATTAAATTTTGATGAGTTTATATATGAATTTCAGCATTTTGTACTATGCAAAGTTTAAATAATTTATTTGTTATCATAAAGTTTAAGTTATACAAAATATTCTGCATGCAAATAATTTTATATTAATGAAAAATTTGTATTCATTGCCATCAAAGAGAATAAAATAAGATTACTTATCAGTGAATATTAAGTTCATTAATCAATGAAGTTTTATTTTAAATTTTTGAAACTCCATACATAATCACTTGCAAAATTATAAACAAAATTAAAAATTCCAAGTAATTAGTTTCGAATTATTAATAATTTGCTATTTCAAATGATTTTAAGGCTGCATTTTATGGCAAAAGTTGCTATGCTGATACATGATAGATATTATAATCATGTTTAATATATGATTAGAAAAAACTATTTTGAAGACTAGAAAGATGACTTTTTAACATTGAATGATTTTTAACTGTTTCAATCATATTATATTCTAATGAGTGCAAAGTATAAGAGAAATTAATTTTTGTTTTTACTAAATCATATTTAAATTAACTTTAACTATTTGCTAGCCTTATAATAGGCCAATAATGATTTGACAGCTTGTTTGGAAACTTTAATGTACTGGGTTAGTTATTGTCTGTGGTGAAAACTTTGTTTTTTTCAAATATAATGATATCTGGTATAGTGTGAACTAAACTTTTATCTATTTATACTTTAAAATCCCACACAATCTTAACCATCTGAACTAATCTTTCAATTGTGTGTTCATATCAATTTTTATCCATGTTGAAATCATACTTTTTACATTACAATGTATTAACTTTGTCACCTTGTTATATCTAGTTTTATACTCTGTCTGAAGAATCTTACTACATTCACTTACTAGATGATCTATGGTTTCATCTTTTTCCTCACATAATTAACACTAGGGGATCTCACTGATTTTTTGCATCTTAGCTTTAATTACATTTGTTGTGAGTGTTCTTGTGCTGCAAAAATTGCTGAATCAGTATCTTTCTTGATGAGATCCATGCAAAGATCAAAATTTTTAAAAATTATATAGAAAACATTATTATTCTAACTCTATTATTTAAATAATATACAAAAATTTATTAATAAAAATAATTTTATATGATGCTTTCAATATCTTTCCATTATTTCTAACAATAATAATAGTCAATTAAATTTTGTTACTATTCAGTATTTAAAAGTGTTTTTATTTAAAAATTAATAATGCTAAAAATTTTTATTAGATATATCAGTGATTCTCAACCACTGTGCTGCGGCACTTTAGTGTGCCGCAAGGTTTTTGAAGTGTGCCGCCACTGCGAATATCCACACACAAGTGATGTCAGACAAGTAGTTTAATCAGTTCTATCTTCCTGAAAATTGTAACCAGTGCTACTAGTAACTGCCGTTAGTTACCAAGGTGTTTAGAAAATGTGACCTAAATAACCAACTGTGTTTAAAAATCACTGTTATGACATCACCTGTTGTCGTGCGGTACTTAACAAAGTAACCGTGTGTGCCGCCAAATTTTTTAATTATTAAAAGTGTACCATGACGAGAAAAAGGTTGAGAATCACCGACATATAGCATAAAAATATAACTGTACATTTTAATATAAAAAATATAACAAAGATATAATAAAGGAAATTTAATGCAAAAAAATTTTTTACCTATTGTTTAAAATATTCCAGAATACAAATGATCATTTTGTGTATCATTTTCTGTAAAATCATTTCTGATCATTGATCAGATTCTGTGTAAATATTATTTATTATTGAAAATAAATATTATTTACACTTCAGGTATTTTTGAAAATAAATACCTGAAGTGACTCAGTGGCTTGCTTATTGATAGACAAATATAGGTTAAATAATATATGTATATATAATAAATAATATTTGAACAGTTTTAAGTAATGTATATTATTTATCTGAATTAGGTGCTTTCAGGAAAAATAAGGAGTTTCTTACAAAAGCAAATGTTTTCTATTAATTTACAGGACTAATTTTTGATTTAATTCAAGTTATTCATTTTTGGTCTGTCTTTACTCTAAGACAAAAAAATATGTAATTAACCTAGTTATTACTACATAATAAAAAAAATATAATTTATTGAATACTTAGTTATAATCATCTTCAAATCTCACAATTTCATATATGGAGCTACAATAGCAAAGCCATGGAAACACAAGGAACATTTTCCTAATAGGCTAGTTGCTGATCGGAAAATCTGGTATCAAAATGTATGTAATTCACTCTGTCAATGCCATGAAACATGCATTATGGCTGGAAGTCACCCTTTTGAACAATTTCTGTAATTATCCATTATTAAAAATTCTTTTTCTTGAATCATTACTGTGTTTGAGCCTCAACATTTCACATTCAACCATGCATTCTATGATGAGAAATGTTTGTTTTGGCATGTTCTTCCACCCCTTAAAGTTTTGCCCATCTTTTTTGAATCACCTTATATCTATAAATAGTCTATTCTATAAGAAACAATTTAAATTTATTAATTAAATTTCAATGGTGTAGAATGATAGACCAAAATCTATTCTGACGTAAAAAATCACTTTTCTTGACAGAATCTTTTACAATAAGAAATGCACGTTTATAGAAATTGTCTGATTTCATCAGAATATTTTAATATTATCATGAAATAGTTTAAATGCATTTTTGTGTTGCTAACTAAATATAACTTTAATAATTATTTTTCTGTCATCACTGTTGATCTATAGTTATAGCTTTCTGTGAAACTTATTTTTTATCTATGTACATTTGACACATACAACCAATTAATTTGACCAAGGGGTTACTATGCTACTTAACGATTTGTTTTGTTAAGATAACCAGAAGATGAGAAGGATTACAAATGCTATAATAAAAGATATGGATAGATGAAAGTTGAATGATGTGTGAAAACATTCCTCCAGTAAAATTTACAAGTTTGATTTGTAGTACAGTATAACTAGATCTGCATACAATATTAAAGCATTCAATGTTTTTCTCTTACCAAATATTCTGTTCTATTTATATCAATTGGACTAATAACAGTAAAAGCTTTCTTAGTTTTATGGTTGAATGACCAAGGTTTCTCCATTTCAGCTTTTAACCAGTATCGAACACTTCCATACTTTCCTTCAAATGATGTTGAGATTCCCCTGTAATATATAAGTTAATATTAAAAATCTAATACAAATTACAGGTAATATCTGAATACTAATCTATATAAATTTTAAATTCAAAGAATTGACAATTCTAAATTTTGAAACAAAATCATAAGAATCCTTAGATGTACAAAACCAATTCAGTATGTTTTCAATAAAACATCTATTGGAGAAATTTGAAAAAAGAGGAAATAAATATTTTATTTTCAATGTGTGTGAAATAAAATGTTTTTAATGATATATAAATATTTTTTTAATCAATAAAATGTATATATATTTAAATTTCACATAAAACCAATTATTGTTATTGCAGAAATGACATCCTAACATAAATGTATATAATATGCAAACTTGAAATTCCTTATAACTTAAGTTCATTCATTTCAAATAAAACAATGCTTTAATATCATTAATACAGAATACATAATTAACGTTATGTACAAACAATATTAAACTAAAAATTACAGCCTTAATGCAAAGTTTTTGGTCTTTTTAACAGAACTTTTTCAAGCTTATGCATACAAGTGTTATATGAATACTGATAGTCATATTTATTCTGAACAGATTTATTAAATATTAGAAATATCTATTTATCAAATTATTTTTCTGTGTCTTATGATATCTCTTTTCTAAAAGTAATATTCAAGTTTAAGCATGATTATAAATTAAAGTAGTGGTCGAAAGTCCTATGCCAATAATCTAAAAATCATAAGGAGTATTATTGTCCTGAAAGATAAAAGTTTTGCAAACTCATAGTTTGGTAACACTTGGGACTCTAAAATGTCCATGTTTGGCTTCATTCAATGTGTGTCAACAATTTTCAGATGACCAACACCACAGATTTAATTACAGAACCAATCATAATCATTGCAAACAGTGGTTAATCATTTGTTTGGTACAACTTATCTTATATCTTTTCCCAATCTGGCAACTTACAAAATTACTCCTTTTATGAACAAAAATATTTACAGTTATTATATAACTGAAAATTACATTTTTCTACCCAGTTCTTGTGTCCCTTTGATAAAGCAAGTTTTCAGACGTGATACTGTTTATTCAGGTAGGATTTTCTTGTAGCTTTTGTCTAATCAGAACTTTTTCCACAGTCTATGACAAACAGTATTGTAGTTGTAGACATATAAATACATGCTTCATCCTGTCAGACTTTTCTCAAATCCATTGCTGTTTTAAACCTTGATGCTAAAAACTGCCAAATCAACATTCAATCAACACATTCAGTAGACAATCTTAGTCAATCTTTTCTTTTTCTGACTCCCAAAGATCTGGTTTCAATAAATATTTTAACAGTACATAAGATATTGGAATGGTCACAGAAACATTTGACAGCAATTTGACCATTAAAACAAAATTCATAAAAAATAATAACTTCTACTTGATTTGAACAGATAAAAATGTTTTTTTTTTTTTTTTGTCTTAGGCATTACCAATTTATAACAACAGGAGAAACAGAAGACAGCTAAGTACTACCTATTGATTCAACTGACCAAATTATGCCACTTTTACAGCTGAAAGGTAAACATCAATAACAGAAAACTGTAATGGATTAGAAGTTGAAAGAGATTTTTTAAGAATGGTATTTGTGTTTCTGCAAGTACAAATTTTAACTTTAACTTCATTTCTAAAAATGATAATTTATTTCTGTAAAAAAAAAATTTTAATTTAGCAACAAAGTATCTTACTTATGATATAAAAAATAAATACCTATACAAACACACAATGTTATTTAAACTGAGTTAAAAAATGCAATGTTTCAACATGTTTCAACTTTCCTGGCAAAAAGTTAGTTTGGGAGCCATCTGTTACGAGATTTTATTAAACATTTTTACTGTTGTTATTATTATTATAAAATGTAAAATCTTCATTAAGTCCATCTCCATTTGAGATATGACACATGTCCCCACCCTCTTTAACCACCTTTTTACCATCCACCTGTAATCACCAAAATTTAGTAGCATTGATCTCCTTAATTCACAAACCACCCTGCAAAATTTCAGAAATTTTTGACAAAAAGCACAGGTATTGTTATGCTTTGAAGTGGGTAAATAAAATTGAGCTGCCTCATATACACACACAGAAAAAAATGCCAAAATATTTTGCACTTCTTGATGTTTCAAAGTTCCAAAAATGTAAAAATCTTGGAAAACATTTTTTGACTGATTGCCATACTTTTCCTGTTATATATAATACCTGGAAAAGAAAAGGAGAAAATTGATTTTCAGATTACTGCTGCAGGACTTTGGCCATTACTGTAAATCACATAAATATGGAATAAATATATTCTGTTTGAATATTCCTTGCATTTATAATGAAAAATGAAATAAAATGTTTAAAGTAATGCTTCAATTTTAAAAACAAACTTAAGAGATTCTTTTTATATTAAGATAAAAAAAATGTCTTTTATTTTTTTTACTCAAAGAGCATGAAAAAGATTAATTGTTTTATTTTAAAATATCTTAATTTCATATACATTTATATTCAGTAAAAAATTATTTTGTTCTCCAAAAGATTTATTTCATATAAATGGTTAGTTTTTTAATATAAAAACAGTTTTTAAACATAAAAAAAAATAAACAAAACCCAATTCTTTCAAAATTCAATAAAAATAAAACACTATTAGAGAAAAATTATATAAGAGTGTCAAATGTTTCTGTACCTATAGAAATTATCTCACAAAAAAACAATCTATTTTTAGATTATGTTCTCCTAAAGATAGTTTTCTAGACCTAAAAACATTTAGGATTCTTATATAATTTTATTTTAATAAAGCAAAATAGAAATCCATATTCATATTTTTAAACATATCTGACATTAGATTTAAAATCTAATTTTTAAAATTTTTTAAATTAAGAAAATACTTTTCAATCTCTAAATAGGATAATTTGATTCTGTAAATTTCAGATAATTTACAATATAAATGCAATCAGTTAATTTTTAAAATAAAATTGCAACAAGATAAAATTCAGACAATTTTTTTAGATTATTCTGTTTATAAAAAACTGTATTTCTTTTAATTAATAATAAAATTATATTAATTTAACTATTTTAGAAAACGGAAAATTTCTATTTATTCATATTATTATTAAATATAATAAATAATTGCATTATCATAAACTTTATATTTCTTAATACCAGTAAAGGGAATAATATAGTAAGTTTTAAAATCATATTAAAATACTCACTTAAGCTTTTACTAAAATTTTATTCTTATTTTTTATTTATTTTTACTAAATTTACTTTTATTAATTACTAGCAGGTAAACCCGGCGTTGCTCAGGCAAAAGTAACGATAGGGAAGATTAACATTATTACCTTGTAGTCAATCTTACCCGTTTTCACAGAATGCAAGAATTGGGTCCCCCTGTTTCCGGACTGATCAGAGAATTTTTAGATGGGTCTAAAAATATGTTCGATTTCCCGCAAAAATGAAAAATCTGCATCTGCGTCTTGCATGTTGCTTTCTCTTAACAATTCCATTGTTACATAACACTTTCATTGNTCCTTCATAGATGCCCAAATAAAAAAGGATTGCTGTTAAATGTTTAGATGAGTTCTGTTCAGTGTCAGATATTAAAAGTAATAGTGATTCAAGCTTTGTAAATGCTGCCCTATTGTGCTTGAAATTAATAATGTTAATAAAAACTTATATTCTTGTGCCTTTACAATTTATAATTCTTGCACCATTGTAGCCTTGCACATTTTTGTTTTTATGATTCAAAATACTTTTAAGAAGGATTTGTTAGGAAAAATGTAATATGAGACTGTTGTTTAGTTGCCCCATATCACCATCTTGCCACAGCTCTATTAATATGGAGACAAGAAGTATTTCAGATTAATCTATTTGGGACACAACAGCTAACTCCAAAAATGCAAAATAAAATTGAAAAATTTGTAATATAAAATTCTATCAAAGTATTTTAAGCAATTATAAACTGAAAAACCAAATATTACATAGATTGCTTCACCTGAATAGCTGTAAGGTTGAAAAATTTCTTAAACAATAAGTAAACTTTTTACTTTGGTCATTTAATTTATTCAAAAAACTAGAATTAGTAACTGATCAAATGGTAAACAATAATCAATCAAGGATTGAAAATTCGTGAAAAAGAGTGAACAAAGCACAGGTTTATAAGATATGAGTTACAGTTATTTGAGTTATTTTATAAGATCACTTGTCCTATAAACCTGTAGAAGTCAAAACAAATGCAATCATTTACTTTTACTTTACATGCTCTATATAAGTAGTAATTATTTATTCACGCTATAAAAATATACAGTAAAAACAATTCAGATCAAATTCATTAGACAAAATATGTAAAAGATTGCATAGTAAGGAATCAAATGTTTGACTAATATCAAAGTAAATTACATAACAGGACTGTTTTTCCCCCTTCAAAATTTTCTAAAACAACAACCTATTAATAAATTAGTAATGGTAAAGAAGTTACATACAGTATATTACAATGCTGACTAAGGCTCAATTGTGAACTAATAGAAAAATAAATTGTTGAGACTCAAAAGATTTTTATTGATAGCATGGCAGAAAATGACAAACTAGCTTGAATATGTTATAATCTTTCTTAGGAATAGCTATAAGATGAGATGATGACCAATTGGATGCAACAATTATTTTGAATTATTAGAGAGACAAGACATGAAAGAACAGTTGACTTTTTTCCTTCTCTTTCCTTTATAGGCCAAAGTCGTCAAAGAAGAAAAAAGTCAACCTATAGCTATTATTATTCTTTCATGTCCTATAAAGAAAAGAGAAGGAATTTTATCTCTTAGGAGTTAGGACATCTTTATTGCAAGTTTGAATATTGAAATTACTCCAAAAGATATGGTCTTAATAATTAAAAATTATTACAAATTACATAAAGTTTGGTTTCTAACAAATAATTTTATTGACTTTTTTGCAAATTATTATATTTCTTAATTTATTTGTTATCTAAACGAGTGATTATTTACTGTAAGATC